TAAAAAAACGTTCATGCCCCGCATTCCAATGCTGGAGCAGAAAAGCTTGAAATACCTACCAAAACACTTGAATAAAGACATACTGTCGGTATGGAAATGCTCTGTGCAGGTGTTAATCAAGTTAAATCCCAACAGTCAATCAGCAAGAAATGCTCTGTGCGGGTGGAAATGCTCTGTGCAGGTGTTAATCAAGTTAAATCCCAACAGCCAATCAGCAAGAAGTATAGAGGAAAGCTGCATGCCTATTGGTTGATGCCCTGCATTCCATTGTGATGACTCATGGTAAACACGGCACACTAACACAGTAATACATTTGATATAACACAGCCAAAAAACTCAAATAAAACCATTCTAAAAGCCTGTATCACAAAAATTTAAAAAACGCCTAGGGGTATTTGCCCACTGTACCTCCATACCAAATTTCAGGACCTTAGGCCCTAAAATGAAGAAGCTGAATCCATTTAAAAAATGGCAGGAGAAGAAGAAGAAAAAGCAATATGGGTTCACCACCACTTCGTGGTGTGGTGAACCCATAAAAAGAGTGCACAACTGGCAAATTACCTGTGGCTATACATGTACAGGTACTAGGCTCTTCAACATGCTGGAAGCTATATCTTTGCTGCTTGTTTTCTATTATGTGCTTTTCTTTCTCCTGCTGAGTAGAAGGCTCGCACAGTGTAGATGCTCAGGGCCAAGGGTCATTGGAACATACAGGCAATGACTCAGCTGGTAGGTACATGTACAAGTGCATGCATGTTTAGGTGTTTTGTTATGTACTATGTTATACTGGGCAGCATGCAGAATGCTTTGGTCACAAGCAGTGGGGATTTTTCATTCAGTACTACCTATGATAGTATGACCACTTCAAAGTAAATGACTTCAAAGTCATGAACATTAACCTTATACATCATGCATGTATGATGTGCTATTGCTGAAAAGAAAAATAACTGGTTTTAGTACAAACAAACAGTCATTGTCAAGAAGACAATATTTAGGGATGCATTTTGTTTTCATTGTACTACTAGTAAATGCGATGAGATTCAAGTGACAGCCCCATGTTTCAGAATCTCCAGTGCCTTTTCTTGTTTACAAACATAAAGTGTGTAACGGTAATCATAATGACAAGTTCGCATACACTAAAATCTCAACAACTAGGCCAACCATTTATTCCTCCTGTCTGTTCTGACAGGTCATGCGTTCATGTATCCTGGTGATGAGTCAGGTGGCAGTGTTATGTTTTACGAGGCGGCATCCGTGTGTGAGAAGGTCGGTGCCACTCTGGCTTCATGGGAGGACTTGTACAATGCTTATACAGAAGGGCTGGATATTTGCAGGTATGAGATCATTTTAGGAGGTATCACAAAAATGTATAAGTACAATGTAGGAATACTGGACTTGTTTATGCTAAGTTGAGTGCATATTTGAATTTCTGAATGAGATGTGAGATTTTGTGAAGACATGCTGCATGTACAAATGTGTATAATTACAATGTCATGTTTTATTATAGATATCATCATGTTGATTCATTTACAAAATGCAAAAACATTAAAAAATGCTTGGTGTCAAAAGTGATTAGTCAGAGTGGTTGTCTTGCCGACCAAGTCATACCAACATTTCTTTAGAAACGGTACATACCGGTACACAACTGCTTTCTCTGCTTAGCACTTAGCATTTGGGAAAGAGTATGGTTGCCCTGTTTAATAAACACACACCACTACCATTGGAGTAACTCCCTGCTGTAGTGATTGCACAACTGTGTGGCCCAAGGGCTGTTGAACCAGAGATGGGCATCGCCCTATTTACCATCCAGTATGAGAAAGAATATGAAAACTAACTTTGGTGTTGAAGGTACGGCTGGTTGAACGACGGGAGTATTTCCCACCCCATCCGCTCGATCCGTGACGACTGCGGCCAGGTCGGAGTGAACCATGACGGCAGCCATGAGTACAGCTCCAGGTACGACGTTTGGTGCCAACCCAAGAACGGAGACTTCAGTAAGTGGAAAATACATCTTAATTGATACCTTGTAGTTCAGTTCAGTTCATCCTCAGTGAGGTGATACCACCTCCTCCACAAGTTCCTGACAGAACAATTTAGCTCAACATCCCAATGACATCCTACTCAATTACCTTCTCAAGTGTCAAAGAAGGGCAACCACATCTACCACTTTCATCCAGTTTCCAGAGTATGGTTAATCCACTCATTTCCTTGTTATGCATAACATGACCTGTGAGTGACAACCTACTACATTATATACAGTTATGAATGACCATTGAGATCTGTGGCATGTCACCATAAAGTTTGCTACTTGTTGGTACTGTGCAATCTGACTCAATATACCCCAATAAAAAATGTAGCTTAAGAGATACGTTCATATTGCATGTGGGATCATCATACATGCAGTCTAAGCAGCCTGGTCTGAATTAGGTAACAATGGTTTGAGATGGATTTTGGATTTGTATGAGCAGCATCAGTTGCTTTATTTTCATCACTTTTTTCCTTGTTTGGTTTTAGACCTTATTCTAAGGTGCACTTGTATACCCAGAGAGTTTTGCACATGGTGTGTGTGTGTGTTTGTACGTGTGACTGTGAAAACTCATGTATTACACACGTGTGATGGCTATGGAGTGGGACTACCAATATTGTTGAATTTAGAATGATTGTTTATTGATCATGAACACAGTCTATATAACTGCAGTTTTTTTAAGAAATCCCAACATCCCATATTAAAGAGTTATGTTGTTGTTGTTGT